CTTCCCAGGGCGGGGGTGATCACCCGGTTAGGGCGGGGGGCTTTTGGCGGGGGCGGCGGGGTGCAGTTTGGCGCCCATGATGGCCGGCGCGCCCTAGGCGAGCACCTAGTTCGCCTAGCGGGCAAGCCGGCCCTGTCTGAGGAGAACAAGCTACCATGGGCCACCCAAAGTCATTAATAAATTCAAGACAATATATTTCCCTGGGTTTAATAGGATTCCTAAGTCACTATAGGTGCTAATGTCTGGTACATCCCACCCTTTACAGATGTTGATTACATCAGCCATACTCCTGGAAATACCTACTGAATCTTCTTAACTCACTTGACCCTGCACCAAGTTTTACAGTTTGCCGAACAACACTTGGGTGTGTCTCATACTAGTGCTGCTGAATGAACTGATTAGTCTTTGGACTGATTCTTGTTTGGAACCAGGCTCTCTTTGTACACTCACCTTCTGATGTGTATATAAATTGGTTTGATGGATATACACTCCAGTACATCTGATGAAATGAGCTCTGACTCTAGAAATCTTGCGGTGGGATTATGTTAATATTTAAAATGTGACAAACGCTCTAGTAGTATCTAGGGGGTACCCTATGAACATCATTGAAAAAGCAGAAGTGAGAGCTAGGGGTGTTTCTAGAAACAGTTTGTTGACCAACAAAATGAGAGTAAAAAATGAGAGTTTCAGTTGGGCTTTGCAATACACATCCTTGGCTATGCCCATTAAAAGGACTATACAAAGGTTATGGAATTTGGTGGAAGATATCCCAGGGTGTGGCAATTCCCTTATAGTCGGCTTTAGGAAAACTAAAAGCAAAAAGGATTTATTGGTGCGTTCTGACTTCAGGAGACATGCAAATGACAGGACATCCCCCCCCACCATAAATGCTTGCATTGTAAAACTTGTCATTTAGCAATGGAGGGGGATGTGATTAATCTTCCCAGTCAACATCAGATAAAACTTTCTAAGCTTTCAACATGTTCAACTGGAAACGTTATTTATTTATTTAATCCTATGTTCCTGTGAATTAGTTTATATCGAACAGAAATCTAGACCTATCAAGGTGCGTATCCTTGAATATATTTCATGCATTAAAAATAATATTTCTGAGGCTGCTTTAACTGAACATTTCAATATTAAGAAATATAAATGTGATGATTTTAGATATACTGAGCTCTTTGTGGCGGGCAAAACTGCCAATGTACGGCAAGTTCTCCTTCAGGAAGAGGCCAGATGGATTCATAAACTTAATTCTCTTACACCTAATGGGCTAAATGCTGATGGTGGACAAAACTGCCAATGTATGGCAAGTTCTCCTTCAGGAAGGGGCCAGATGGATTCATAAACTTAATTTTCTTACACCTAATGGGCTCAATGCTGAATTGGACCTTAGTTGTTTTTTGTAAGGTTTTGTGCTTATATAATTTCTGTGCAGCATAATGTTTTCTCTAATGTAAGATCATGTTGGTTTTCTATTGATGTTTCTTCCTTTCGATAAGTTTTTTTGAAAATGGGTGTAAAGCAATGGTTTTCTTGTGTGTAAAATTATGGTGGTTTCGTAAATGGTGTTCTTCTCCCCCTGACTTTTTTGTCCCCGGTAAAATAGTTTTGTTTTGTTAAATGGCTTGACTGTCGGGATGGCAGCAATGACTGATGTATTAGAAATGGTAAAAGCTTGTAAAACCTCATTTGGTTTTTCTCCTCCTCAGGGCATATTGCCTTTGTAAATGGGCTTTGTCCCTTTAAGATGCAGGTCTGGCAAACAGCCGGCTGGCAGCAATTATGAACTTTAGATATGTATAAGTAAATAGGAAGAGTGAATTTACACTACACTAATGGGTTTGATGAGTGTCACTATGAGATACTACTAGAGAGTTTGTCAAATGGATTAATATTGTATGTTATATAACAGTCAGTTGTTTGTACAGCCTTGTGTTATTCTCTTGCTAACACTAATAATGGAATTATATTTTTGTAGTTAAATATAGGTATTTTGATGCTACTCACTTTGATAAAGTTATACATGAAACAAGATATAATATGCATGGTTCGTTGGTGTTGATGGCGTTTGAATTGCTTCCAGTAAACTGAATACTGGGAAAAAAATTCTAGTCTTTCGAGACTTTTTTGGGATAATACTTCACAGTTGTTTGCTTCTTCTCAACCACCTGGAGGTTGGCAACCCTAGATCATCTGCACTGTGTTACTGAGGTTAAACTGTGGTGGCAGGGGTCGTTTCATAGAAAAAGAGCTAGGGGAACTCATTAGCATATGCCACACCCCCTGACATCAGGGGCCTGGCGGCGGACCTGCAAGGCCGGCGGGAGTGCGAGGAAGCCCCGCCAAGGCCCTCCCTGGCCCCAGGCAGGCAGGGGTGGGGAGAGGCGGGGAGGAAGCAACTTACCCTCCCTCTTCTCCTGCCTCCTCCTGGCTGAATGAGGGCCGTAAGCAGGACGGCCGGAAGCAGGGGCGGGGCTTCATCGTGTGCCCTGCCCTCCCGCACCTCACCCGGGGGAACTGTGATCCCCCGCGTTCCCCCCGAAATGACCTCTGTGTGGTGGCCATTTTGTTGCGGCACCCACCATGCCATGTCAGAATTCCAAAGGTGCCCGCAGGCTAGGGTTGCCAACCCCCCCGGTTTGCCAGGGGTCCCCCGTTTTTTGGGGGGTTCTACCCA